CCCCAAAACCCCAAAACCCCAAAACCCCAAAACCCCAATTAGAGGATTTAGAGAAATTTTGGGCGACATTTTCACCTATATGCTTTGGTAGTGGTGAATTTGTGCTTCCATTTCATGCATTTTATGCATCGTGAGAGGAAATGCTCCGCTTTAGTTATGATGGTATCGTGATCTTTCTGCTCTTTGGAATTAGTTTCTTCGTTGTTAGTTTGCTTAACTGGGAGAGTTAAAGCCTTTTTCAGTCTGACTCCTTCTGACTTTCAAGCTAAACATTCAGGAGAATCATTTCTACGATGCACAAAGAACTTTGTGCATTCATTTCACCAATAAACCACAAGCTTACAACCGTTACTAAGCTCATTGCATAATTTAAGTGCATTATATTTTACCATCTCTTGATCAGAATAGTAGGATTTGATGAAATCATATTCTAGTGGCTCCTTTCAATCTTTCTGAAATCAGCTCTCTACTCAAACTCCTTTCTTCAGCTTTGATACAAGGTAGTTCTTCATTCAATGTTCATGATAAGCATGCTTGCATACTGCAGGAGTTGACTTAATTACAAAATCTTTATTTCAAATCCATCAACTTAGGCTAGAATCATTAATAGATGGCGCCACAACAAGATCTAGCTGTTCGTCATCAGAATCAAGCTCAGGCTCTTTAACACATCTCTTCTTACGATCTGGGAGGGGTTTAAGGATGGAAGGAGGGTCAAGCTTGAACTTCACTTCCTTCTTGCTCTCCTCCTTTAAGGTTCTTTTTCTTTCTTTTATTATCTTGCCTTTCTCGAATTTATGAACAGTTTGAAAAATATTGGGAAAATACTCTGAAAATTTATCTATCTGCATTGAAATCGGGGTTGAAGACAGTATCTTCTTAATAGATCTGACGTATGCTATACACATGCTCAATTTTTTTGGATCTCGAGATCAGAGTAAGCCCACTAGAATTCCTTCCAGCATGGTTCCTTCTGAGAACTCCTTAAGCGTAGTTCTCAGGATATTCTTAAGTTTTTGAGGGTTGATATTTGCCATCTCAATTATCAATTGTCACACAAAATTTGGGGTTTTGGGGTTTTGGGGTTTTGGGG